GGCGGCGACGGGGCAAGAGACGGGGCGGCGATGGGGCGAGAGGCGGGGCGGCGACGGCGACGGGGCGAGAGGCGGGGCGGCGGCGGCGATTGGACCGAGAGGCAAGCGACGTGCGGGGAACGAGCCTGGAGCGACGCGGGGTAGGTCCGGTCCGGGATAAGTCCCAATAAGCTTGTTTGTTTCCAGGGACTTATTGGCTTAGGGACTTAAAAAGTTCCTATAAGTCCCATCTAAACCAAACAGGAGGGAGTTATAGGGACTTAAAGTGGGCATTTGGGATTTATGAAATAAGACTCTCAAGGAGGGACTTATAAGGACTTATAGTTGTAATATGGTCTTATAGGGACTTATAAGTCCCATGAACCAAACAGGTAAGGACTTTTTAGGGACTTGGGACTTATAAGTTGGGACTAAAAAATGTCCTAAGACTTATGAACCAAACAGGGCCTGAGAGTCTTATTTGATAAGTCTCAAATCATCACAATAAGTCCTAATAAGTCCCAATAAGTCCCTTGTGTTTGGTTTAGGTGGGACTTATAAGGACTTTTTTAAGTCCCTAAACCAATAAATCCCTGAAAACAAACACCCTCTTAGCATGGATCTGCGTTTGGGTCCGGGTTTTCGATTCGAGTCTGAGGTCGGTCATAGGATTTTCGTAGCCATTATACAGAGTTTGAGTCTCAGGTTATTTTATAAAATAAAATAAAGAACTTCAGATCTACTTTATATCACATATTATGGCAGTACAAAGAACACACTCAAGCTAACAGATGTAAATGTCTATGCCTGAATTTTATTTTACTTTTTGAAAATCACGGGGCAGAGCTCCCCACCTAATATATTTCTTAATTTTGGAATCCATCTATTGACGGATTACAAATGAGAATTATATAACCACGTGTAATCATGACGAGAGGTAGGAACCTGATGCGGAGCATCCCTCGCTCATCCCCATGGACGTGCCTACATCTCCCTCAACACCACTTGGACCCATGACAAGAGCCCGAGCTAAGGCTATCGAAGATAAGGTGAACTCGCTCCTCTCCGAACTCCCTCTTCCTACTCACGAGACATGGCTACTACCTCATTCGGAAACTCTATGTGTAATCAGGTACATGGAGGTGAGCCAAGGAATGACTACTTGCAAGAGCCAAGACGACGAGGACCCCAAGCATGTTGAAGAAGAAGAAGATATGCTGCTGAAGCTACAGGCGTCGGACGACCGACCAAGTCCGGACGTCCGACGAGTTCCAGGACACGGACGTCCGAGCCTTCCGGACGTCCGGTACTTCGCCACCCGAAGTCTACGGACGTCCGAGGCGGACCGGATGACCGGACGACAAGCACCCGAGAGAAATCTACGGACGACCGACGACTTCCGGACGTCCGAACCGTCACGAAGCTCCGGACGACCGACCCCCTCCGGACGTCCGACGCGCCTACGACCGAGCTGATTCTACGGACGCCCGAGCCCTGCCGGACGTCCGGACCGTCCCGAGCCTCCGGACGTCCGACGCCTTCCGGACGTCCGACCCCTGAGTGACCGCGCCCGCGGGCTGGAGCCCTTGTACCCCTTCACTTTGACCTCCTTTTGCACTAAGACTATAAATAGGACGCCCCACCTCCTAGTGAGGGTTAGCATAGGTTTAGCTCATATTTTGTGTGAGAGCCTTGCTCATCCACTTGGCTACTTCTCCTCGGAGCTCAGGACCTCTTCGGAGAAGATCCCCCAAGCGGATTCAAGACCCCTTTATAGGGAAGACCCTCAAGACCTCCGTACGGAGAAGAACGGTTCCTTTGTATCCTTACCTTTGTTGATCATGGATGTCACTCTATGTTGTCGGTGATCTAGCACTCGTGTGATTGATTCTATGTCGGTTTAGTGTTCTCTCTTGTTCTCCCCGTGTTTCTTCCCTCGAGTTCTTCCGCGTGTTCTTCGTGATTCCCCGTAGGATCCCTCCAAACGTGAAAGATCGACCACTTAGGGTTCCGCCCTACATCATCTTGGTATCATGAGCCACGTTGATCATGTTTTTGGAGCCCCTACCCCGTGTTTTCTAGCTTGATTTTGTTGTTTTCGTCCTAATTCCGAAAATTCCCCACCAAAAATAGCCCCAATTTTTTTTTTGTGATTTGTTGGTGAGTTGAGATTTTGTTGGATTTGGTCCATGGATTTGTGTTGCTGCGTGTGGATCTAGCTTTCCCCACCCTCCCCACCCTTTTCCATCCACCATATCACTCGATTTCGACCTCACCATCTTCTTCTTCCCCGGAAATCTCGCAGTTCTTCTTCCCGAGCCCGATTTTTGCCCAGGCTCCGGACGTCCGACGAAGTCCGGACGACCGTAAAAGCCCGGACGTCCGCGAAACCCTGACGAAACTGAACTTTGACAGTTCGGTCACCACCACAACCCCACATTCCACCACATCTTCCAAACCCACATACACCAAAATCTTCCCCGCTACCTCCTATGACGATTTTGCCATATTTTGGTCCTTGAGATTTTGAGTTGAGGATCCCGTATCCTTTTGTGTTTCGGCTATCTAGGTACGGTTGACGTCATCACCACCACGGCTCATCTTCGCAAGGGTCTCATCATCGCCAAGGACGGTAACTTCGACGACATCTTTGTCATAACTTGCAATTGCATTGATACCCACATTGTCCCTACTTTGGCGTAGCTTACCCATCAAGACTAGCCGTTGAGTATTGCAGGCAACGTGACTTGTGCACATTAGTGATCATACTCCATAGCATACCATACCATAGTGGTGCATATCTTGAGATCAACTTGTGTGTCACAAAGTTGTCATAGCATACACAATTACTATCTTGGTTCGTGAAGTTTTGCATGAGAAAAGAGCTCAAAAGTGAAAGAGCCACCCAAGCTTTTAAGCAAAGAGGAAAGATAAGAAAAGAGCTTATGAACAAGAACCACAGCATCATACTACATTAAGATTGTCATATTGGATCATCTTGGATCATTGCACCGAAATACCATACATATAGCATACTTGGGATAGAGATAGTTGCATTTTTGCCTAGTAGGTTGTGCACAAGTTTGCGTATCCGCCTATTGTGCAATCGTGCTAGCGTCTCTCTAGTATTGTGCAACAAGAGCATTTTCGTGGTTTCCACATTTTGGCTCACTTTTGGATTGCACAATCCCATTTATCTATTTGCGTGTGTGTTTCCGTGTACCCATACTAGCTTGGTCTACTTGTTGCATTTGCAAATTTGTGAATCTTTTCCAACTTTATTGAAGCTCACTTACTATTGCATCAAATTTTTTGCCACCATCCTAACCAAGCTCCACCATAAGCTTTTACGTGTGTAGGTGTGAGAACCGACAAGAATTGGTACCAACAGTGCTATTTCATTGTCCGCATTTGAGTGAACTTGATTCACCTTCAACTTCGGTCAAGGTACATTTGGTACACGTTCTTTTCCTTCTACCACTTACATTTTATTGAAATGATGGATAGGACAAGTTCTTCTACCACTCCACCTCTCATCGAGAACGACGACGATATGTCATCATTCATCACCAAGAACCACCTATTTGGAGCTCAAAAGGCATTGCACCAAGAGCAACAAGCAATGAGGGACTACTTCGACAACAAATTCGACGCTCAAAAGCAAGAGAATGATGCAAGAATGGATGAGATCCGCGCCTTGATGAGGAACCGACGTCCCTCCACTTCTTCATCCTCAAGACGGAGCCGCTCAAGTCGACACTCCGACGACACCTTCTCCGACACAAGTACACCATCATCGAACACTCTTCGTCAAGCTGCACGTCAAGACCGGCATGCATCCCGGAACCCGCTACATGACAAGCATCCACATGAACAAGTCTACGAACATCTACATCACCCCGCACCACACCAAGTCGCTTTTGCACAAGCTCAAGAACGACAACGACTACGACGTCAAGAGGAAGAACGAGCGCGTCTACACCAAGAGGAACAAGACGCCGAGGCTCAACGTCTTCAACAACAACAACGAGAAGCGCAAGCTCTTGAAGCGCAACGTGCCCTTCGAGATTCGAGCCGAGCCATTGCCAACCGCAATCACGAGCGGCGCAATCAAGAGGAAGCCCTTCGAGAAGAAATCCAAGAGAGGAACTACCAAACGCGTGTGCAATGTCAAGCTACACAAGGTCCTCCACAAGCTCGTCAAGCTCCACCTCAACCTCAAGTTCAACAAGAGCAAGTTGATCATGGACTTCCCCCACGCCAAGAGCAACATGAGGATGACTACCCTCCACGTCAAGGACGTCACCATCACCATCGCCAACAACACAATGAAGAGCAACGCTATGGCAAGCTCAAGTTTACAATGCCCAAGTTCAATGGAAGCAATGATCCGGAAGAGTACCTCTCATGGGCATTGAAAGTCGACAAAATTTTCCGCTTGCACAACTATGAGGAAGAGAAGAAGATCGCTATGGCATCACTTGAGTTCCAAGAT